TATAAATGTGATAAAATTTCTTACCTTGGTTTTAATATTATCCCAATACCTAAAGGTTTTCATAACTTCTTCAATCCCGATACGGTATAATGTAACTTGTATGGTTTCTAATTATAAAGAAAGGTACGAAAAAAAAATTTATTTTTGAAATCAAGAATTATGACGTAAAATTCCATCTTTTGGCTAATATTAGTCATTTTTACTGTCCCATCTGATGAATAGCTCGCAACAAACGAATGAAAATATGATGCTGCAATCATCTATTAAATTTTCATAGTTAAAATATATATATATATTTTTTTTTTATTCGCTCAAAAAAAAATATTATTTTTCTTTTCAAATTATCCAAACAATAGCATGATGCATCATAACCCCGTAATCTTTTTAAATCTTCCATTCGAATATATCTTCAGTATCTGCGAATAAGGCACCACCATAGTGATTTAACCAACACGCTGTCATTAAATATGCTATGAAAGAAATAAAGAAATCCCCCCAATATTTCGAACAATTAGATAAATTGGATTAATAATATAGTTTGCTTAAGGATATTACATCTGATCACGATGCAATTTGTAATCGACCATCATGTCTGCAGCTCATAATGTGAACGCACGAGTCATGCGCGCGAAAATTTTGCATTGGGGATTTAACTTTTTTTTTTTTAAAAAAAAAAAAAATTATACGAATGAATAAAAATGAAAGGTTAAGAATAAATTTCCGAAATATTAAAGGTTCGTTAAATACTTTCTGGATTTTTGATTTCCCCTTGAGAAATTTTTACTGTTAAAAATTTCTTCGATGTTCCGTATGGCAATAATGTAAAAATAAATTTGGTTCATCAAATAAAAAATACTCAAACTATTATATTATTTGGATACCATTCGTACATTCGGTTACAATCTTTCTATGACCATCTCAACTAAATGTCCAACACATAACGTTTTGGCAATGAAAAGGTGTATAATGGATTCGTAATTTTACTAAATTAAAAAAAAACTAATGTTATTACGTGTTAAACTCGTTTTGATGTAAACATCATGACAAAGAAAAGAAGACTATTACCGAATAATGTTTCGTCTGGTGATAATTTCTGATGTTTTTAGGCACAAATTTCCTTCTTTGTCGTACACTTAATAGTCCATTAAAAAAAAAAGATTCATCTTAATGGAAAGCATATTAATAGTAATATTAGTTCAATTAAGAAAATTTATTATTATTTTATCCTAAATAATAGATCCAAATGGATTAATTTATTTGGTTATTAGTCCAGAATGAAGTGTAGGATTATATATTACTACAAAAATGTCTCACAGTCTGCCTACTCAATAATTAAGTTGATACTGATTGGCTTTTGTAATTGTATAAAATTCTAGATAAAGCAAATACCAGTGTGAATTTTTTGTTAAATTGTTATAAAAATTCCCATTTCCTAGTTGTATGATTTTAAAAAGAAATTTTTATGTTTTCTAATTTACTTTAACTTTGCAAATTCGTTCACATACTGTATGACGAAATTCAGTTAATAGATACCTTAATTAAGAAGCCCTAAAAGAATCATAAAATCCAATTGAATGATCTGCTATTACGTTCGTTATGTTTGTCAATATATTAGTTTATATTAGAAGAGAATTTTTGGTATTATTGAACTAAACCTAGGAATGCATGATAAAATTATTTTAAATTTATAATAAAGTTAAACTAGAGTCGTAGCTCACTCAGTATCTATTATACAAAATTATTATTAACGCATACATTAAAACTTATAATTACTAATAAAACTCCACTTTTGAGCAAAGTCTAAATTAGGTAATAACAAGTCCTATAAGAGAATAGGATAAGGTATCAAAGAAGAATATTGCGAGCATCATTAGTATCTCTATCAAGGGCTATTTTCAGCAAAACACTTTAGATCCATCTAGCTTTCTATGAATATAACTACAGAATCCACAAGTTTTACTTGTGTATTCTTCTGCATAAATTACTACTTGATACCAGGGATGATCACGTGACTTATATATCAGATGCTGTTGAAAGCAATAATGTGACATGTACATATGGCTCAAGTAGTCTTTTAACCAATACGTCGTTTCCCATATCAGACCATTCCTTGTGTGCAAAATTCAGATAGTAATATTACACGATAGTTTTCACAAAGCCATTTAGTTAACTTATAATGACAATCATTCACAAGACAATGGATCCTCTTGCGAATGCATATTATAACACGATACAATTTACAATTATAATAAATATGTTAAATTATAAATATTAAATTAATTAATTAATTAATTAACTAGGAAACTGGAACCGTTGTGCGTCTGAAGCGTTTGCATCACTTAATATCACGAAAAAACAAAAATAATTTAATGTAACACTAATTTTTTTTATTATTATCACTACACCTGATCCCGAAATTTGATTGGGCATTTTCACATAGTGACAGTCAGACATTGGCATGGTTCCTCCGCTATGCTTCAGACAGTAAATTTTACCTGTAACGTTTTTGCTTAATCGAGTTCAATAGTTCCACTTGGATTATAACCAGTCATGAATGTAAGTACACCTGGATCCAGAGCAATCATTTCTAATCCTTCCTATTAAATTATTAAATAATTAAATAATTAAAGTTTTAATTTAAACTACAACTTAGATTTTTATTTTTAATATAGGACAAGGAAACATTGTATAGATAATATAAATAAGAACCTTTTGAGATAAAGGACCTTGGTTTTCAGCCCATATTTCAAGTGGTCTAGGTATACAAAGATAACATTCACCAAGGCGATTTATAACAAGACGGCTATCATATGCAAGATTTTTTGGAAGAGGTTCTGCTACCACGAGACTTGCCCCAATGTTTAGAAAGTATGGTAATTGATTGTTGATGATCCTTTTTTATAACAGAGCTTCATTTTGAATTTTTTTTACGATTTGCTGCAAAGTTACAGGAATATCCTTTAATAAAGTCATTCATTTGCTTCATCACGAATATCATAGGGAGTTTCAAGGACTCATTTAAGTATGGCATTATTGAAGTTTTTGGCGTTAGACATCGTGCGTGTAGATCCTTCTTTTCGTTTGACGCCTTCTTTTTCGATCACAGTTAAGGTACTGATTGTATGTCCATCGTGCTGTTTCCATCCATCTTCTGAGTTTCAGACACTCCTGCTGGTGGGATAAATGCGAATCCGTTGTACATTGCCGCTAGAAGTTTCTTCACTTACTTCTTGGAACTCTTGAACCTTTTGGGCGGCTTCTCTTCTCCTTCTACGATTGGTGGCTGGACGTAGTTTATTATGTCGTGCTACAAACACTGTGACGATTGCAAGCAAGTCTTTTGCGAGCTTTACAGCTTCGCTATCAATGGTATAAACATCTGAACTGAGTACCACAAGCCGTGCCCCATTCTTTTCAAAGATCCATTCCATGAGTTCGGATCCAAAGCGACACAAGCGGTCCTTTCGGGTAATCATCACTTCTTCGATTCTATTAGAGAATATTCGTTCCAAAAGGGTTAGAAAACCCCTGCGATTCCAATTGAGCCCTGAACCGATGTCACTGATAATTTCATTTCCTGGATAATGTTGTTGGAGATCTGTCGTCTAGTTGATGATCTAAGCTACAGTAACTCTTGCGTAACAAGCCTTGGCCTTTTGTGTGGGTTGCCGGTCATTTCCAAAGACTTTGTGTACATCTGTAATTGAATAGAGTCTTTTTCCTCCGGGTGTTTTGACAATGGCAACCTTTCCGCACGTCGCAATGTTTCTACCGAGGCATCATATGTCTCTTGGATTTTACTTGTCACTCTTGTAGGCAATCTTGTTCTGAGCTAAGGTTGTAAAATATGTGGTTTGTTTAGGAATGAGTTATTGACAGAACTGTGTTTATTAAAATTTATCATCCAGGAGATTTGTAATACGAAAAGTTTATTCGAAATTAGTGTAACGATATCTACGATCAACCCGACTATCAACCCGAGAAAAAAAAAAAAAATTAAATAATATAAAAATAATCAAAAAAACTCACCTTTTATTGGATTCAAGCCGGAGGGAACTTAAAGAAAAGAAGAGGAAATGCATAAGTATTTTTGTTTAATATTCTTCTATCTGCGTCTAAAATGAAACTATAAAAAAAAAAAAACCAAAAAAAAAAAAGAAATATAGTAATCTGAAATCAACGCAAGCGTAGAGAACTCAAAGAAATAAAAGGAGATTTTTGGCAAAATCGTTGAATCTCAATTTATTATCTTTTATATTCTCGATTTAGGTTAGGATAATAATTTTTGGAACAAAACTTTCAAAATTTTCTTTTTTCATCTACGAGCAACAAAAAAAATATATAAATAAATTCCTTCATTCAAAATCATAGGAAAGAATTGAAAGCCTTATTTATATTCAGCTCGAATATAAAGGTGAAAAGAAAATTTTCACCTAAAAATTTCTTCCATGGTATTGATAAAGATGAAGGAGCTTTTCTTGGTACGATGCCGATTTCTTTAGTGGCTCTCAACATCTTGCTATAAAAGATGCCTATTTTATCACTGGTTTGACTTTCACTTCTAAGGTGTGTGTCACCTTACTTCGTAAATTTCTTCTTCATTAGTAAGAAGCAACACCCAGATTAAATATAAGAACATTTAGCTTACTAAGTGCTTTCTTGTCCAAATCATAAGCAATAGTTTCTGCGGTTGGTACTAAGTACTGTACATTCAAAATCAAGTTTTAAGAAAGATTTTACAATGAATGCATGTTCTCTGCTTTGATTAAAAACTGCATGTGAACGCGCAAAATGTACACTTTCAACATCAAAAAAGAACTTCCATTTAAATGGATCCTTTTTTCGAGGATATCATTTTCTATACTTATTTAAGTCGGGCCAATGTTGAAGAATAGAATTAAGACTTGTTTTCGATTTATGATAAAACCAATTGAAAAATTACTCCGAATTCTAAAATCGACAAAAGTCAGTTTTAGACTGGTATTTTCAAGATTCAAAAGATGGTATCTGAATACTTTAATGGTAAAGAACTAAACAAGTCCATTAACCATGACAAGGTCATCGCTTATGGTGCTGCCGTTTATGCTACAAAAATATCTGATGACACTTCCGTAAAGATTCAAGAGATGTATTTACTAGAAGTCTTCGGCTGTTTTGAATTGCTCCAGCACCAAAAAGTGTACCGCAAATCGATACGAAAACGAATCGTTATACTGTCATTATTATTATAATAGCTTACTGTTTCAAATTCAAAATATAAGTGATTATGAGAAGTTGCACAAGATATAAGGCCCGAATTGGATTAGCCATTACGTAATACACTTCAAGTAAGTTTTAATTTTTTTTATAATATCGATATACTAAATTATTGAATTTATTCTTAATCAAAGGAATTTTGACGATGCTATTCAGAAGCCGATTACATGGCTTGAAAACTAGTCGAAGAAATTGGCCAATCTAATGCAGTATGGCAAATTTAAAATTTTCTTTTTTAGTTATTAAAATCATTAGATTGTGAGAAGAGGAAAAAAAGGTAGTACAAAAAAAAGTTAGCATTGTTTTTTATTATTAATCAAAAAAAATACCATTTCGTGTTCTGCAGATAAGTATCGATCCTAGTTAAAACAACAAACGAAATCAAACCTAATCACGATGAATAGGAGAACGAACTTTGTAGTTTACTTAATTTTGGTCATATGATATTGGAGCTTTATTTTTTTATTATAGTAATAGATCAGTGAGTTTATTATAATAGATAATATATTAATAAGGTGTTAATTATATATAAATATAGTTTTATACAGAATTAAATATTTCATGATATACAATATTTTTATTTTGGCAACTATTACCATCTTCTATAAGAATCTTAACATGTCATGTTTATACGAAGTTGCTTTTGATAAGGCAGAAGATAGTTGACCATGTGCAAAAATGGGTTGAGGTGAATAAATATCAACCCTATTTAATGTTTGTCCTTGTGATTTATTAATTGTCATTGTAAATGCAATATGTATAGGAAAATAGACGTCAATTTAAGATAAAGGTAATTTAGTCTTTGATGGAGTTAATGTAATGCTCTGAATGAATACACGTTTACCAAAATGTGTTTCTGTTATAATTTCAGCATCAATAATTCTACTTTGAAATGCACGGCAAATTAGCCTAGTTCTATTACATAAACCTTCTAACAGGTTTATGTTTTGTATAAATATGATTGGTATGCCTAACTTACAATTTTAATTCTCCGGGAGGAAGCTCAGGAATTTTTAATGATCTTAAAACTTCGGGTGAATAAATTTTGGGTTGTTCTACTATACTATCTTCTGGTAAATCTATTGAATTAGCACTGGAATATAAGTCGTATTTTTTTATTTCTAAATTTATAAGAGCGAGAAAATGGAGAGTATTGACTAATATTAGATTGATTTGGCAATGGATTATTAATAAGATCATCTATTAAACCAATTACTTTTGCCTTAATAAATGGAAGCTCATTTTCGTTGAGATCAAAAAATCCTGAAATAAATACTAATTTTCCAATAACCAGTTTTGATGCGTAAGTCAGGACCGGCTTCATATACAACTTGAATATTAAAACTCAACTACTTCGCTCACTTTTCCAACAAAAGAGGCATATGAGAATGAATTTATCCTATTATCTTCAGTAAATGGTATTATATTTGCTGAAGAAAATATGATTGAAAACACACTTTCCACATAAACATAGTCCGCGACCTATGAATTTCGTAACACAAATGAAGAGTCGCACAATTTAAAATTTATTTATTAAACGTTAATGATCTTCATGTATTTTTTTATGAATCTGTGATTATGAAATTTGTTGATCAGTAAAAGCACCTTTAATTTTGCTTTGTTTCAGTTCATTATCGTTCAATTTTATAAAACATTTATGGTTGTATTTTATCACAATATTAAATCTTAATAATTGTATTTATACATTAAAATTGAAAGATATTTTATTTGTGGAAACAAATCATTTGGTTATTTCGATGAATAATATAAAAGGAAAATGTTCAACACACAAGGACTGCCTATCGGTTAAAAACGACTTTGTGTAACAAATGCGACGAATAATTTTTTTTTTTTTTTTTGAACGTTATTCGTCAATAAACTTAAAAGCGAGCATCTCACTTAGAAAAACAAAATGTAATTATGTTAAAGGCGTCTTGTTCAGCATAATAAGTGTTAAATTATAGTATTGTAAATAAATTTTATCAATAACAAATTAAATTTTTCATTTTTTGTTTCATCACTAATAAAAATGATTAAAAAATAAAATCAAAAAAAAAAAAAATAATAATTATAGAGGAATTGAAAGCAAATCATAGGCAGCTCCATTAGATGACCCTCCACCAACTACTGCAGATGCGCATCCTAGAAGTGTACTAGGTAGGACTACAATACCAACTACAATTTCGTATGGATCAGGTAAGGTTGATGGCGTCGTGAAATTCGCAGTTACGGTAAATGGTGAACTAGCTTTGATTGGACATTCTTTTCCAGTACAAACCGGCCCCTTGTAGGTATCGCTTACGATTTTTTTAGTTATAGGATTACCATAAAAAATAATAACCTGTGTTTTACTTGTGATATCTACGCCTAAAGTTCCGGAAACTGTAAAAGTCTCGGTTTGTCCGAGGACGACAGGATCAGGATTAATTGTTACGGATATTAAGGGTGGAACTGTTGAACCATCAGGTTCACATTCACCAAAGGAAGTCGTTCTCTTTTGAAGTTGATGTGGAAATGCATTGACCATGGAAAGTGTAGCTAATAAAATGAATACAATAATAAAATTTCGTTTCATGATTATTATTTCTTTGTCAAAGATATCTAATTAGAGGATTTTCTCTGTGAATTTAATTATTACTTGAATACAGAGTAAATTTAAATCAGGTCACTTTATAAAGAAAAAAATGCCCCATTCAAAATCCACATTCTTGCATTAATTATTAATCGACAATCATGTGGATTTTAAAATGATTTTTGAAAAATGATTTAAAATTATTTAAACGAAACCCTTATTTAGAAATAATAAAAGGCAAATAATAATGCAAATGGGAAGTTTTCTAAGAAAATCAGGCTGAGAATTTTTTTTGATAAAAGTAAGACCTTATTACATTTTAATCTAATAACATCAAAAACTGAAATGCAATAAAATCAAAATTTTGTCAAAAAATTCTCAGAACCTGACTTTACTAACAATCTTCCCAAATGTGAGGGAAAATAGATTAAAATGATGAATAACACTTTTATAAAACCGAAAATGCTAATGTGAGTGGCCTTATAATGCCTATCTCAAAAAAAAAAAAATAAATAAATAATAAATTATTTATGAACCTTTGACATACAAGAGTTTGGAAAACCTTAATTCTTTAAATGCATAATTTCAAAAGTAATTAATTTATTTTATAAATTTTTTTGATCACCAAAGAACAATTTACTTGTTAAAAAAAAACTTATTTACCAAATTAAAGCTTTGCCAGAAAATATTATTCGTAATGAATGATATTTTTTAAGCGCAGGTAATTAATTCTATACATTAAAATAAAGCTGGACAAATGCTTTTCGCTAACTTATTAATCGCGTAATACTATGAAAAATTTAATACAAAAATTTTTTGAATGTCGAGAATCTAAAATCTATTTGCCGACCAAATATTGAAATTTTTTATATGCTTCTATCAGATGTACTGGGAGATTTTTTTTTGTAACTTTTCTTATTATAATTATCTTTTCGGGGTTGGATCGTGTCTATGTGTTTTATTTTCACACTTTTTGATTTATCTATTAAATTTTGCCTTCACTTTTGTAGATTAGGTTTGTTGTGTTTATTCTTGTTATAATTCTTATTCTTATTATTATTGATCATTCAGCAATTATTTTTCCCAAATAAAATTAATATACAAGAAAATAATTATATTATAAAGCTGCAACAGCAGCTGGTTTGCCTGAGGCCCCCTATTTTTATTGTTTCTGAATTTCTGCGCCACTTAAAATTAGCCTAAATAATTGATTCGATTTATCGATTATAATAAATACATTCTTGATCTATTTTTTTATAGTGCGTAGAAATATATTGTCGTTTGCTTAATTATAAGATTGACAATGAAAAAGAATATGGGAATGCGTCAGTAAAAAAGAGAGAAATCTGAAATTTTTTGTTTATTTCTAATTTGGGGCACATGACTGTGATCACATCAAGTGGACCAATAAAAAAATTTTTATCAAAGATTTTCCCCTTTTCTATTGACTGCCGCCCATATGATGAATATGACGAAGTGGACAAATAAGATTTAGCATTTATAACTTTACCATTAATTATGATAAATTAGGATTCATTAGATAGAGTTATTATAGTTATTATATTTAATATATATATTTTATAGGACAAATTTATTAAAAGTAAATTAATATCTCGTAGAGTTTAACTTTAAAGTTCAGAATCAATTAAATTCATTAACTATTACCCTATTTCGTGTCTCCATATAGGTTGATTGTGATTGCGATTATTCAAGTTGAATGATCGACCGGAAAATAATTAAATAAAAATTTTATTTTCATTTTATTATTTGTTTTGGTAATCATTATTCTGAAAACCACATGATCATCATCATAAAATGTAGATTATCCATAGCTTTTAAAACCAATTTTTAAAAAAAGAATTGATGATTTGGAATCGGACGTTTTATTTCTTTATAAAAAGGCTCTAATTACAATTAAGTCCGAATACAAAATTGATTAAATTCATAAAGAAATCTTACAATTAGCAACATACCTTTGTAAAGAAATAATAATCATGAACCGACATTTTATTTTTGCATTAATTTTAATGGCTGTGATTTCCACGGCCAACGCAATACCACATCAACTTCAAAAGAGAACTACGCACTTTGAAAAATGTGATTTTATTAACCCTCTACCAACCCTACTCAACGTTAAAATTAATCCTGATCCAGTAGTCTCCGGAAAAAACGATACTTTTAATGTTTCTGGAACTTTAGATACAGATATCACAGAAATAACCGGACTTCTTATTCAGTATGTCGATCCTGAAGCTAAAAAAACCGTAGGCGATCAATATGTTGGAAGCATTTGTACTGGAACTGACTGTCCAATAAAAGCTAAAACTCCTTTTAATAAACTTGCTACATTTCTGGCACCACCAACCTTACCTAAAAATCTATATCAAATTATAGTTGCTGTTATAGAATCAGACGGCAAAATTCTAGAAAATGAACCAGAACCGCTTCTAGGTTGCGCAATGGCAACAGTTGCATTTTTTCCACCTAATTGATGCTGAGATTGCTTCGTTTTCCTATCACTCTATAATAATTATCATTTTATTTTATTATTTTATCGTTTTTATTAGTATTGATAAATATCAATACAATTTTATTATTTGATTTATGCGAATAATTATACAACTCATATTTATTAGTGTTGAAACTTAGAAAAATTTAATTCGTTATTGATAGAATTTATTTACCATAACATTTATTCTGAATAAGGCGCCTTTAATATTTATTAATTGCAAGTTTATTGACGAATAACATTCCAAAAAAATACTGCGCATAAAATTTATTAAATGTCGATTAATCACCTTAAGGTTTGGAAAAGACGTCTCGCGCTAATTTTTTTTATTTTGACGATCGGCAATTTTCGTGTAATTTTTTTCTAATAATTTTGATTTTGAAAATATAAATAAACTTTGAGAGATTTTATTTGAATACTATATATGCACATTTGGCATAGCCTGATTGAAAAATATCCTATAGGATAAATCATAAAGATTCATCAATAAGATTTTGTCATATTTATTATCGTTTATATAAAATTTTTTACTATCAATGAAATTTATTGCTCATTTTTACAATTTTCACGAATTTCTAAAAGTTTGGTGATATTAATTTATAAATTGTAGATGTTCTAGCCTTGTGTTTGTAAATCCAAATTTTATCAGAAATACTTCGATTGAGATGGCCTCGTATCTGAATTTAAAAAGTTGATCAATATGATCTTAATTGAAACTAGAATTCAGACAGCAAAAAGAGTGCAGTGCCAGAAAATTGAAATTTTAATTTCAGAAAGTTGGAATGAAATAACGAATTTCATAAAATCATTTTAAATACCTGGAAATTCGTAATTTTGTGAAATTCGAATTAAATTTAAATACATTCAAACGAATATCGAAACCATTTTTTGAATATAAAATGAATCTCAAACGTGGATATACCAAAATAATTCTCGTAATTACGATATATGTGGTGGTATTTTCCTTAATGATATATTCAATTGATCATCATTTGTTAAAGTTGCGGATAACGTTGCGTTGTTATTTATGGCAGTTCCGGTTCATTTGATTGAAAACTGACAGTGATGATTGGAAATTAAAATCATGTCTCAATCTTTAATATCAAAAAATAAAATGTAATTAAATAAATGTGAACAAAAATAAAAGTTTTTTACATCGAGAAATACCTTACAATTTAGATAGACTCTAACAAATTTACATGTTAAGTTGGTTAAATTATAAATATTAAAAAAGAAAAAAATCAATGGGTAGAAAGTCGATTGTCAAAATGTAGTTTTTTTTTTCCGAAACAATTTGCACCACAAAATTTGTATGAAATATGAATTATCATTATGGATTGACATAGCTAGGGGAGGGTCACACAAATATTCGGTATATCAAAGAAACAAATAAATGATTTATTAAATGGACAATCTAAATGTAACAATTCAATGTATTTGAAGCATTAATAATAATTAAACCAATACAAATTCCTCATGGAACTTTTATATTTATATCGTCAAGTGAATAGTCTTTAATTTGTTTATTTTTCGTTTGATCGTTTTGCTGATCGTTTTCTCTTGGCGCGTATTACATGAAACATTAAATGTCGATGCAATTTGTTCTGAAACCGAACCCTTAATATGAAATTTCTAATATATATACATGTACATCTTACATGGGAAGAAAAAAATTACAAACCCATACTACACCAGCTTGAAAACAAATAACTCCACACGACCATGAAATACACTTTCTCTACTCTTATAATTGTTATAATCTTGAGCCTAATTCTTGGCTTATCTTGGATCGAAGGTAAATCAGTGCTTATCGTTATCTTCATCGAGTGCATATATGACTTGTTCAATTTTCAAAACTAACCTTTAAGTCTTGACGTTTCCCATTACATAGCTGATTGTTCGATAGGTGAAGGAAAACGCGATTGCCATTCAGGATTCTCTTGTAGCTCGGATAACGATTGCATATTTAAGCTATGCGAAAATTTCGTCTGTGTGCGCAAGTTGTCTCGCGGCTGCGTAGTAGGAGGCAAGAAGAATAATTGTAGACTGGGTGATCCCTGTGTGTCTAGTGATGACTGCCAAACGCCTGGTTGTGCAGAAAATGATAGTGGAACTACTGTTTGCGTCTGATCATAAAAAAACCTTTGTATTTAGTTTATCCATGGTCAGTTAATATGGTCTTTATAGGGTTTCATAATTTTTCTTCTTTTTTTGCAAAGCGACAATAATATAGAACGATAAAGTGTAATGTGTCACGAAATTATGCTTGAAATAAATCCCTAGACAGCGAGTACCAAAGTAAATTGCTTAATGAGATACATGAGCCAGATGACAAAATCTTCATAAAAAAAAATTTTAAAGCAATCCTTCGATATCTTTCACTTTTAATTATTAGATTTTTTCTTCACATTCGATATTTTAAATTACGAAAAGAAAACATTTTAATTTGGCAATAACTTTTACAATAATTTGCCTTAACATTCGACTTTATTGGCGCAAAGATATTTAAAATTACGTAAATTACATAAAAAAAAAAAAAAAAAAAATTGGCAAACTTTTTTGTCAATATTTAGCCTAATGGTCAACAAACATGTCCCTTATTAAAACTTAAAATTAGTAATTTTAAATCCATATTTTTATTTAAATAAATTTATAGTATAAGTGCAAAATATTTATAATAAATAAAATTAATTTTTGTTTAATTTTAACATTCAATTTTAATATGATAAATGTATTTATATAAAATCTTAAATTGGTATTGTAAACTTTTAAAATTCGTTTTTATGTAAGAAATTTTAAATGTAAACTATGTTACGTGATCAGCAAGCAAAATATGAAAGACAGAATGATAAAGTGAAATATGAAAGATAAAATACAGTAGATGTGATTATATAATAAAAAGATAGACTATTGGAGTTAGTAAAAGGCAGTTAATAAAATAACTTTTAAATAAAAGAATTAATTTTAATAAATAACTTTATATAAATATTTTTAATTTTCAAATTACTTGTTAAACTTGACTTAAAAAGTAGAAGAGCCAAGTTTAATAAATAGCAATAATAATAGATTCACCCTAATTTTAAGTAAATTTATTAATTTTTATCATTTTATATAAGATGATTTATTTATTTACATATATTATATAAAATAAGTTATGCAATAATACCTGATACTCCTTTATAAATTTTTATAAGAATTTAAAAAACTATCTTTATTTAGAAATTACAAAAATTAATCATTATAATTTAGTTTATATATAAAAGTTTATTTGAATAATTACAAATTGTATTTTTATAATATTTATTTTATATATAATATTACTAAATAAATATTTCATAAATTATAATAATATAACTTAGTTATAAAAGAATAATGAAAAATATTTAATATATTTATAAATAGATTTTAATTATTTTAGTCTATTAAAAAAATAAATTAATATAAATAAATTAAAATCTATATCAAATTTTATATTTAACCTACTTACTTATTTCATCATTTGTAATATTTAAAGCTTCTATTAAATTAAAATTATATATGTTGTTAACCCTACGCTTAGCCATCAAACCTAAGGCAACTATGACTTAATAATAGGGAGTAATGTGTGAGAAACTACTAAGTTACTGTGAAATAAATCCTATTATAATCAACTTTAGGTTTATACTTTAGACAAGTAAATAATTTTAACAACTTGTAAATACAATAAATACAATTGACACGTTGAAGGATTTTTAATATATGTAGTTTAGAAAGAGATTCCTTTATTATAGAGAATTATATCCTTAATCTTGGATTCTAAGTCTTAAACTTGAACTATTGAGTTTACACTATTATCTCTGCCCTTTTATAAGGATAAATTTCTATCCTATTTATATAAAAATATAATTATAAGAATCGATATCTAACGTTAAACTATTTTATAATGATAAGATAAATATAAAAGATAAATTATAATTTAACAATGATAATAATATAATAGATAATAATAATAAAATATAAGAATAAAATAAATAAAATAAAAATATTAACTAAGTTAAAAATGCTAATGATATTAATAACGTTGATCATTCATCAATCTTTGTAGCACAGTAAGATTGACTTCACATGGTATTAATGTTAAATTAAAAGAATTATTAAATTACATATAAATTGTAATAATTACCAATACTTTGACTAATTTCCAAACTATTAATTTCATAATCTAAAATTTCATTTAGTTTTTTAGTAAATTAAGCAAACGTCTTATATAAAAAACTTGTGAATGCTCTTTAGTAATACTTAAATTATTATATTAATTTTGATTTAATGCTTTATCTGCTTTATAAAAATCTACAATATCATCATTTTTTAATTCTATAACATAATCTGTTCTTGTAATATTCTTAATCCAACTATTAATAATCTTTTTAATTTCTAATGCTATAAGTCTTTTTAATGAATCTATATCCCAACATTTTTTCATTAAATTTATATAACATTTAGGAGTATTTTCAATAATTTTAGAATGTTTACCTTTACAAATATCTAAACCAAGTTGAAGATTATAAGCTTCATTATTAAATAGAAGAACTCCTGATATTAATTTCCACATAATCATAGAAAAACTATATATATTACTAGCTAAAGTATAATATTGTTCTCTTAAAATTTCAGATGTTACAAATGGTAAAATACTATAAATATCATTTTTTTTAAATATTTGAAAGTAATTTACAGGTTTACATAATCCTAAATCACTAATAAATAAAATATAATTCCTAATATTTAAAATATTATCATGATAAAAATCACAATAAATAAGATTCTTTTGATGTATTTCTTCAAGTCCACTAATAATATTATTTAATTATGATATTTCCACTAAAATAAAAAAAAATTAATTGAAAAACATAATTATATAAAATTAAAAATAATTAATAATTTATATCTTATTTAAAAATTCCTCATTTAGATTTAATGATTTATCAAAACTTTTAAGAATTATTGTAGTTTTACCAATTATTATCATTATATGAATAAAATCTAATAAATCTATCTATCTAAATAGCTTTATATATAGTACTAAATCCTCCTTTATCAAAATACACAAAATTTTCAAATTTATAATAAGGAATCTATTCTAATAATTACCTTGTATTTTGAGCATTTATTTGAACATTTTGAATAAATTCATCAATAAATTTATTTTTACTTATCCAATTAGAAAAACTCTGTTGAAATAAATTAGAATAACATTCTTTATACCATTTATATCCTTATAATTTTTATCACAATTTGAGCAAATTCCTATTTTTCTAAATAATAATTTTATAATATGATGCCGGAAGTCTTAACTCGACAATTGTTTCAAATTTTTGGCGACGATTTTTTATCACGTGACAAGAAACTGACCAATAAAAATGTTTGATTTTGTGTAACTTTATGCAATTAACGGGGTTAAATTTAGAACAACGCCACGCGACATTTTTTTTTCTTAAATGTTAGATTAAAAAGATATTGCCGTGAAGGAGAAAATGATATAAAAGCTAAGTATTTATCTG